AAAACTTGTTTACAAATGGTATTAATAGATATGTACAGAGTGTTCCACACAACATCAAAATACACATTCTCAGCTTCAAATGGGACATTCTATAAAATAGCCATATGCTAGTGCATAGAATGTGCTTAAGTGAAAAGAACTGAAATAATCCCATGCATATTGCCTGATCATAGTGCCATTAAACGAGAAATTAATGACAAAAGTAACTGCAAAGACTCCATAAACACGTGGAAATTAAATAATACACTCCTGAAAAATTAATGGATGACAGAGAAAATTAAAGAATTAAACAATATCTATAAGCAAATGAAATTACAAATACAATTTACCAGAACCTGTGGGATGCAATGAAAGCAGGCTTCAAAGGGAAATTTATTGCAGAGAATTCCCACATCAGAAAAACAGAAGGAAGACAAATAAACAACTTGAAGCTACACCTCAAACATCTAGAAAGAAGACGAGCAAGTCAAGCCCAGAGCCCAAAGAAGGGAGGAAATTATAAAGGTCAGAGCAGAAATCAGTGCACTAGAGACTAAGAAAACCATACAAAGAATCAATGAATTAAAAAGAGTTGGTTCTTTGAAAGAATATATAAAATTAATAAGCACCTAGCCAACTTTATTTAAAAAGAAAAGAAAAACTCAATTCATGTAGTAAAGAATGAAAAGAGTGGAATCACTACAGACCTTTTAGGGAAATACAGAAGATCATCAATACTTTATTCAAAAATCCTTATTTTCATAATTTTGATAACATGGAAGAATAGAACAGTTGCCTAGAAACATATGAATTACCAAAGTTAGGTCAAAGAGAGGTAAAACTTCTCCATAACCCAATTTCAATTAATGAAATTGAAAATGCAATTACAACCTTACCAACAAAGAAAAGCCCAGGTCTTGATGGATTCATTGATGAATTCTACAAGAAATTCAAGGGACACCTAATACCAACACTCCTCAAACTCTTCAATGACATTGAAAGGGAAGCCATTCTCCCTAACACATTCTTGGAAGCAAGTATCACCCTAATACTAAAACCAGAGAAAGACTCAACTGAAAAAGAGAACTACAAGCCAATCTCCCTAATGAACATAGATGCAAAAATTCTCAATTAAATACTGGCAAGCAGAAAGCAGCAAGTCATTAAGTAGATCATACACCATGACCAAGTGGGATTTATCCCAGGAATGCAGGGATGGTTCAACATATGCAAATCAATAAATGTAATACCACCATCGCAGTAGAGCCAAAGATAAGAATCACAATCATTTCAATAGATGCATAAAAAGCTTTTGACAAAAACCAACACTAATTCATGATAATAACCTAACAGAAAATTGAAATTGATGGTCTTTACCTCAATCTGATAAAAGCCATCAATGTCAAACCAATAGCCAGCATCACAGTAAATGGTAAAAAACTGAAAGCTTTTATTCTAAAATCAAAAACAAGGCAATGTCTATTATCACCACTGCTATTCATATAGTGCTGGAAATAATAGCCAGAGCAATTAGACAAGAGAGAAAAAGTAAAGGAATAAGGATAGGAAAAGAAGTTGAATGATCATTATTTTCAGAAGCCATTATACTCTACATAGAAGACCCCCAAACTCTATTGAAAGACTTATACACATAATAACCAAATTCAGTCATATAGCTGGATACAATATCAACACTCAAAAATCAATTGCATTTCTATACACAACAAACTCACTGAGAGACAGATAAGAGAAACCATACCTTTCACAGTAGCATTGAAAAAAATGAAATACTTAGGAATCAGTCTAACAAAGGAAGTAAAAGATCTATTCAGTGAAAATGGCAGTGCTCAGAAAAAAGAAATCGAACACAATCTCATAAAATGGAAAGTGCTTCCTTGTTCATGGATAGGAAGAACAAACATTGCGAAAATGGTCATTCTCCAAAAATTGTTATGTAGATTGAATGCAATTCCAATCAAAATACTATTAGCATTCCTCTCAGATCTAGTGAAATCATTCCTAAAATTCATTTCAAACCAGAATAGATCTAGAGTAGCCACAGCAGTTCTGGGTAGCAATGGCAAGACAGATGGCATCACAATCCCTGACTTGAAATTATGCTACAAAGCTACTGTGATAAACTCAGTATGGTACTGGAATATAAACATACCTGAAGACCAATTGAATGTTTAGAAGGTACAGCCATAATGACAAACAAACTCAGCCATCTCATCTTTAACAAAGGAGCCAAATGTGTTCACTGGAAGAAAGATAGTCTATTTAATTAGTGCTGGAACCAGTGGCTTTCCCTGTGCTGAAAGCTAAAACTAGGCCCACATCTATTATCATGCACTAAAGTCAAAATGGATAAAAATCTAAATATGAAAAGAGAAACACTAACTCTCCTGGAAGAGAAATAGATACAGATCTTAAAGACAAAAAGATACACTGGGAGTTCATGAAAATAATCAAAGTGCATGGGAAATACATCCCAGAATTAACAAATAGGATCTCATCTTATTAAAAAGTTTTTTCATGTCAAAAGGAATCTCCAACATAGTGACAAGGGAAAATATCTTAGCCAACTGTGCCTCAGACAAAAGATTTCTGTAACAAACATATAAAGATTTGAAAAAAATCAGACCCTCAATATTCAAGGACCAAATCAAAAAATGGGTATCTGAGATGAATACAGACTTCTCAGATGAAGAAATACAAATTACAAATAAATATATGAAAAAAATGTTTGGTATCATTGTGCTTAAGAAATGTAAATTAAAACAACACTGAAATTCCATCTCACTAAAAAAAGGACCTGCCAAGATCAAGAAATCAACCAATAACAAGTGCTAGAGTGGCTGTGGAGAAAAAGGAACTCTTTTCCATTGTTGGTGGAAGTTATGGACTGGTGCATCCACTGTGGAAATCAATGTGAAGGTTCCTCAAAACTCTAGTATTGCAGTTTCCTTGTGACATAGCTCTCCTACTTCTGGGCATATGCCTAGAAATATTGAAAACATCATACCACAGTGGTATGTGTGCACACATGTTTAATAGCAGCACAATTTGTAATAGCCAAGTCTTGGAAACAACCTAAATGCCCATCAACTGAGGAATGGATAAAAAAGATATGGTTATTTTTATACAGTGGAGTAATAGCTATAAAAAAGACTGCACCAAGACCTTTCTAGGTAAATGGGCACAACTTGACACAATACTTGTAAGTCAAATAAATCAAGTTTACATGTGTAAATATCAATTGTCTCTCTAGTGCAAGAAACTGAAAGAGCAAGTAAGATCCAAAACCCACAATGCATAGTGTGTAAGGATAAGAAACTGATCACAGGTAAAAAGTAACTGGTAATGGGGAAAGGAGGAAAAAACGGAAAAAGGAAAACTATATAAATTTGTGTGTGTGTGTATGTGTGTGTGTGTGTGTGTGTGTGTGTGTGTGTGTGTGTGTGTAGGACAGCTAAGATGACTATGTATTGATTTATTAGTTCTTAGAAAAGATCAGTTAATTCTCATATGATTAGATTGATTTTGCATGTTGATATTCAGTAATCTAAGCAACTGCTTTGAAGATAACAATATGCAATGTAACAACTAATGTGAAATTCCTATCATCTTATTTTGAAAACTTATCTTGTTATTGTTTTGGGTTTGTTGTTGTTGCTGTCTTTTTTGCTTTTTGTTTTTCTTTTCCATTTCTTTTTTTCTCTTAAATAAAAACATTTATCATTTAACCAAGTAATATTAAAATGTTGATGAGATACAGTACCTTTTTATTTTGACAAAGGAAATCTAATGTATATTTTATATTTGTAGCCTATGTCAATTTGCACTAGCCATATTTTATTTATTCAGTAGTCACATGTGTCTAGAGGCTATCATTTAAGATAATGTAGGTTTTGAGGAACGCATCTTTGTGTCACTGCTTATGAAGTAGTCTTGAAAAAGAAATAAAATTTAATCAGTCCACCAGATCTTCACTATTCAGTGTAGAAATCACTTGAAACATATGAGTATTTAAGATTATCTTAAATTATTTAAAAGCACAGTCCCTCAGATGTAGCTATTTTGAAGTTCTTGTTTGTCATATAAGACGAGTGGCTACTCTCTTTGACAGTACGGATTTTCAAGAGATATGATGTCTCTTCTAATCCTGAAAATTAGAAAATAATTTCTAAGTCATAGGAAATTTGCATCAACCTTGATAAAGCATTTCTTCTCTTTATGTCATTCCCAAATCCTCTATCACTCAGTAAATTTGTACTCATCTCAAGAAAAACTTACCAAGGCTTCCTGGCAAAATGCAAAATTGTCTAAGATAAGCCTGAACAATTTATTTTTGGAGATAAGCCTTCTTTCTCTCATTAATTGCATTTTTGAGTTTCATAGTGGAGTATAACATACTGTATTTGGAATATATTGGCATACCTAGAAAAAACTGATGGGGAGTGGGTTTCTAAAAATGCAAACATGTTCTCTAAATCTTTACGATCTTAGCCAGCTCTTGTTAAGGCTCTGGGCTATGCTCTACATTGGTATTTGCAAGTCAATGTCAAGGCCTGCTCAGTGCAGAGTCACCAACAATTAGTCTTTTAAAGGTCTGCTGCTTGGAAATTTGCCACTAAACTAATTGTAGCCTCAGCACATAGTGTAAATTTTTAATGATCATAACTTTTCTAAATTCAGCCTTTAATAAATCTCGTAGTGCTTTCAAACTTTAAATCAAACATAACCCAATTAAGTTGTATTTGATTAAACTGCATTGCCACTTCATTGAAGTTTTTAAATAAATCAACATAAATATGCTTTTACTACAGTATATAAAGTTATGTCTATATAGTTGAAATGTCAATATTCACATAGGTCTCTTGAAAATTACTGGAATCTGAACAAGAAATCCAGTATTAATTTGGAGGAAACTATTGATTTCTTTTTATTGGCCTATGGGAGTACTTTTCCTTGAAATTCTATAAGGTCAAATTTAAAAAAAAAATAGTAAAAGAGACATGACCCTTGACTTACTGCCTCTGTACCTCCAGTCAGTCTGGCCCTGAAGTATACTATGTCAGGTTCCTTCAGTTGTGCTGTAGTGAAGAAAGTGTTCCAGCTGAAGGCCAGACTCCACTGCGTAAAGCTTTCCCAGGCAGCTGCAGACTTAAAAGTGTTCTTCTTGCAGAATGCTCAGTATAATCATCTGCTGACTGGAGTATCCTCAAGTATAAATCCCTTCAGACTACAGAACTTCTGTTCCTTTTTGTAGTCAAATGAATTCTGGGAAATTTCCCAGGCCAGTTTTAACCAACCAAATGACTATACAGAAAAAAAGAAATTTGAAGTCTGTGCAAAAACGTCCCGTTATTTAACACGTGCCATAACACACAAACTTCTACTTTTGTCAGTCCTTAACATTTACCTCTCTGAATTTTCATAAATTTCTGTTTCATAATGGTATTTTATATGCACTGGTGCCTATGCACAACAAAATACTTACTATAAAAATAGTAAAGCAAATATTTGTTGAATTCTAGAATTTCTATCAAAGTTGATCTAATAATAATTGTGATTAATTCCTCTTCTTTTCTCAAAATGCAATGCCACTTGATTCTTTAAAAACAGCTCTAAGGAGTATTTTTTATTCTAATAGGATGCAATCTTAGTAAAACTTTACCTGCTTTTCTTTCCCAGGCTACCATAAAGTGCTGGTTGAGTATCCCTTATCTAAAAGGCTAGGAAACAGAATTGGTCCAGATTTTGTAGTTTCTTAAAATTTTTATTTCATAATATTTGTATAAAATTTATAGGTTAAGCAAAAAAAAAATCTGAAATCCAAAGTGCTTCAACATGCCATTCTTCAGGTTTCAGATTTTTGGTTAGGGATGCATATCCTAAATTGTGCATTATTTGCCCAATAACAGATTTTCTACAAAAGATAGTTTTTCAAAAGTCAACTAGCATACACTGGTAGAAAACAACTCTATGCATTTTTGCCTATAATTATAGGTTTATAAATTTCAATATCTAAGGGTAAAGCATGTATTTTAGACGTAGGACTTAGTGCTTTCCATTTGCATTTCTATTGCTGTTCAGAATGTTGATGCTCTGAATAATACATTTTCCATAATATTGAGAATTATGCATTTTACTGATATTCCCCATTCATATAGCCTTAAGCAACCTATTTGAATTTTAACTGGTCCCTAGAATCCTGTAAGTCACAGAGTGCACTAAAATTCTTGAGTATATTCTGACACTGCATTCCTGACTTAGAATATTTAAGCCAAAACAAATCTGCCTTGGACCTCTTGTTCACTAGAAAAATAAATTTATGTTGTCTAAACTGAAAATCTATGATTAAATAGAATTAAGTTTGGCTACAAGTTACAGAAAATCTTAAAAGTGTCTTAAACAAGATTGTTTCTGTAATGCATTTAAAATTGCAAAGGTGTACAAGTGGTATGGTGGTAGTGGTATAGTGGGGGTGGGATGGTCTAGTTCCTTGATCTTGCAGCTCTTCTATTCCTGACCTCTATGTTAAGCCATGCCTCATGGTCAAGAGAGCTTGCTCTAGCCATCATGTCTGCACTACAGCTAGCAAGGAGCAGAAAAGAGGACAAACTTTTCTCTTTAAGTGCATTCGTAGAAGTTGCATGCTCAATAAATCTACCATTGATCAGGACTTAGTCCCATTGGTCACAATTAGTTGTGAGAAGATATGGAATTTTAATTTTTATGCAGGTTTTACATGTACTCGGCTAAAATTTGGAATTCTGATACTTCAGAACAAAATCAATTTGGGGAGAATACTAGATGTATATGCAGTACTCTCTGGAGTGAAGCTCTTGATCCTCAAAAGACCAAATGATAGGCCTGACAATTGCTGCTAAAAAAACATAACAGAAGCACCTAAATTTACAGTTGAGCATCATAAAAGAATGACTTAAAATACTTTTCCCTGTCTTGGTACATATTTTGAACTCCTTTTACCACAGCATATTGATACTCATATACTTCTTGTAGATCTTTAATTGATTGCTTGCATTTCAGTTGTTTCTTATCAAAATATTCCATACTTCCATGATAAGAAGTTGCCAAATTTCCATCCTGGCATAACATGTAACTGAGAGACAATGGAGTTGAAGTATTTTCTGAAACTCCTAAAACTTAATCTTTTATACCTTTTGCCTTTTTCTCAGTTGCTACAAACTTAAACGCTTCTATTGACATTAAAACTATTTGGACAAACTAAAATTAATTAAAGATTTAGAGTTGATCATGCAGTAGCATCATCCATGGTGTTTTGAGTACTTACTGTGTTCCAAGACCTATGTTATGTGTCTCACTTACATTGCCTTGTTAAGTTGTCAGAGGAACCCTCTACAGTATGTCTACAAATGAGGAAAATAAAGTTCATATAGGTCACATAACTTGTCTAAATCTATGTAGCTAGTGAGTAAGGGAATACAGAATTCATTCATAACTAAGAAAATTGGAATTCATTCATAACTAAGAAAATTGAATCTGGATAACCCTATCCTCCCCCTCCATGCCCTTTCCCCTTTCTGCTTGGTTGACATTAATTTATATGAAAAATCTAGATGTGTGCTATGCAGTATGGTAATTCCTAGTCTTATACTGCTATTGATAATTAAAGTTCAATTTCTTCAGTCATAGAATAATGTATCATGGTTTCATCGGAGACAGGCTAGTGACTACCCACTGAAGAGCACAGATATAGAATATTTGCATCATTATACAGTTCCTCATGGGGAATTTTAGTGTAGATAACTCTGGCCCTAACCTGGAATTCTTTTTGGCTTTTATTGCCTGACTGTCTTTGCAGAATAGGGCCAAAGGGAAACAGGAACAACTTAAGAGGTATTGTCTGTGTGAATCATTTTGCCTCATAACCCACATATTTGTAAATAAAAATCTGAGGAAAAATGTGACTCTCCCTTGAATATTGTCACTAATGCATTATGGTGTCTTTATTATAACTGTTCATTATCATATAAATGTGAATACTCCATTGATAAAATCATGTCAGTTATAATATCAGTTGCTAGAAACTTGATTTACTCCATTTAGGCTGCTATAATAGAAACATCATAGTCTAGGTAGCTTCTAACCACAGAAATTTCTCCTAAGTACAGTGGAAGTACAAGAGAAAGATAGTGATATATTTGGTATCTGATAAGGGACTGTTTCTGCTGTGTGGTCAGTCAACACTGTACTGTATTCTCACATTGTGTAAGAGGCAAGGAAGCTCTTGAGGGACTTTTTTTACTATTCCCATTTATGAGGGCTCTAGCCTCATGAACTAGTTGCTTTCTTGTGACCCTACCTCCAAACACCTTCACAGTTAAGAGTAGCTGCAAACATATGAGTTTGTGGGAGTGCACAAAAAAAAAATCAATTCATGACAATAGTTAATATCTGATATAATGCAATTAATTTATATAACATTTAGAGAATCTTTCCATTCTTTTTCAACATTACAAAGGCAAAAATTTCTTATTTTATTCATTATTTCACTATGAATACTTTGACAATGATAAAATATATTAATTAAGAACAAAAACATGAAATTCTGTATGTAGGGTCAAAAATAGTAACTTATAATTTTATGCTTTTGACTATTTTATCAGTTAGTATTTACATTAAAGATTAAAAGATGAACACTTAAAAGACAAACTAGAATTATTCGTGCATTTCATAGTCAAATATAAAATCCTGTATTTTAAAATTTCCAACTTCAAATTTTTTGTGCTAAAAGCATTCAGTCACACTCTAGCTTTTACTGAAAAAATCTAGCAGATTTGTGTATTCAAAAATTGCTATATTAAGAAACTACTATGGTAGCAGGCCAGGAAAAGAGCAACCAAAATGAGTTAATATACTCCTACTTTCAATTAAGACCACTTTTGTCAAAGGTGAAAGGAGATTTTCCTATAAAAAGCAATGTTTTCACATTATTTGAATATCTAGACTTTGTATACTTAAGAAAACATATTCAGAAGACAAGAAAACACATTGATGTTAATTTTGAAATTAAAAGTGACATGTTTCTGAGCAAAATAGATAAGTAGAATTCCTACATATAAGTCTGAATTAAAAAGTTCCCAATAATAAGAAATGTCATATTTAAAAAACAAGAATACTTATTTCCATATACTGAAATTCTCAGCACTAATATGTGTTCTGGAAAAAAAATGGATTTGCATTTCAAAGAACATTAACCATGGAACATAGCAGACAGATGATCTTTCAAAGTTGCATTTCAATGCACTTCTAAGATAAAAGATAACTCCTTTCAGTTTTCAGCATAGTAAATGGCATTTTTTATGTTGAAGTACTACGGAAAATCTAAAGATGCACTTTGTAATAATATTTACATCTCCAGGCTGGTTAATAGCAACAGTGATGAAATATTACTCTGCCTTAAAGGAGAATAAAATTATGCCACTTCCAGGAAAATGGATGGAGTTCAAAATAGGTCAGACTAAGTGAAGTATTGTATATTTTGTCTTATATGCACAATTGACAATAATAGAAAATAGAGAGATGGCAGGAAAGTAATAGGAAGACTCAGACAAAAGGAAGGGTATCAGGGGGCAGAAGAAGAAGAGAGTGAGTAATGAAGGGTAAAAAGTCATCAAATATGTTATTTCTGTATATGAGTATATGATAACAAAACTCATAATTCTGTATAACTAATAAAATAATAATTACAATGAAAATCAAAATCTAAACAATAACAACAGTAAATAAGCATTCTATTTTATCCAATGAAATCAAATTTTGAATTAAGGCAAAGAGTTAAGTTCATCTAGAACATCGGGAGAGAGCAGAGAACTATATAACTTCAGATAACTTACTGTCAATGTGTGAGGTAGATCAAACCATGAATTCTAATAGTGGAAATCTGGACAACAGACTCAGCTCTGACAACTGTAGCATTTTGTCCAAGTCATTCATCTAAGTCCCTTTCTCTTTCCCTGGATCTGGTTCCTATGTAGGGAGAGATTAAACACTTGCCATGTGTAAAATCTTTTTACAGTTTCTTATTTGTTCCCAAAAGTAAGGGGCTAGTTAGTATTTTAGTAGACTCTACTTCACTGAAATACTATAACAGATTTTAAATATTATTGTTAATTTAAATTGGGGGTGATTAGAGGCTAAAACTCAAGCAGGTTAATGTCAATTCATTTGAATGATGACATCTAGGAAGTACTTTTAAATTGAACCACAGTTTGAAATATT